TTTTTTTTTTTTTTTTTTTTTTTTTTAATCCCCAACGGCTAATCCCCGTCGTGTCGTTTCGCGCTAGTGGCAAAACGATCAAAACAGAAGAAGAAGAAGAAGGAAAAAAAAAAAACTTTAAGAAAGGAAGAAAAGGAAAAAAACGCGACTTACCTCGTGATGATGTCCCGATGTCCTCACTACAGCCCATATTTGGGCGCTTAAGCGTTCAGACACGGACAGGTAAGTTTTCTCTCTGTTTTTTTTTTTTCCAAAAAAGTAAAAAAAAAACTTTGGTCCCTTTCTCGATTTGTGCGTGTCATCCTTGCGCAGGGCCATGCTACCCACGCGGCCGATTTCGGCCGCGCGATCTGGTGGATCGCGCGGTCGAAATTGACTGCGTCACCTCAAGGGAGTTGGGCCGCTCCTATCAAAAGGAGCTAGCGCAGTCACGGTCGTTGGGCTTGATCCTTGAATCTGCAGGGTGATAGTCCGGCGGCAGTACCTACTGGGCTAGCTCCTTCTCACATCAGGAAAAGAGCAGCCCTTCTATATGAAGGGCTTCCGGTGCCCAGCAGGCCCCCTTCCAGCGCCTAGCAGGCTGTGCCTGCTAAGCCCACTCGCTACCGTGGCTGGCAGGCAGGGTTGGCAGTCGACGGCCTTAGCAGCTGCCCTACCCAGCCGGCCCTAACGCCATCGCCCCCGGTCCTTGGCGCAAAGCCCCGCGGACCCTAGAGACTATTCCTTCACGCTGCGGTCCCAACCTTGTCGCAGCGACCCCTTTTTAGCCCGCTTAGGCCCTGAATCGCGCGACTTAACAGCCGCGCAGCCTTATTATAGGTAAACTAGGTTTAATTTTAACGTTCCCATCTCCGCACGTCCCTGCGGCACGCGACAAAAGCAAAGCCTTGCCATTCACATTCGCTTCTTCTGGACGCCACCCGCGTCCAGGCCAGAATTCGAAAACTTTTAATCTCTCAGTCATAGGTAAGGTCTGAATAAACTTTCGGCAAACGTCAATCTCATCAAGTTCGTCCATTCGGCAAGAAAAAGTCGGACGTCGTCCAACGTTCAAAACCCCCCGGCATACCCTTGTCAGGGTATTTGCCCCGACAGCGCTTTCCAGGAGAAGGGTTTCCCCAACTGCTTCGGTGCAATCGATTGCACGCACATCTACATCGACAAGCCCACCGGCGCACCGTCGGACAACTATTACAACCGGAAGCAGAAGTTTTATGTCCAAGCGCAGGTTGTCGTGGATTTGGATTTGTGTATCCTGGACATCCACATCGGATAACTGGGCAATGTTCACGACATTCGTGTGCTGCACAACTCCCATTTGTGGAGGCGCGAAGAGAGCAGGGAGTTGTTCGACGCTCCTCTGGAGAATTTGCCGCACGACGTCGTCACGCGAGGTTACCTTCTCCGCGACAAAGGCTACCCTGTTGCCTGCCCATACGGAGGAATCGACCAAGGTCCTTATGAGGAGCGCTTCGACACGCGGTAGAAGGTGGCACTTGGTTGTGTGGAAAGAGCCTTCGGCCGGTTGAAGTGCATGTGGCGACTATTTTTGCGCACCCACAAAACGAACTTGGAAACCTTGCCTCAACAGTTTGTCGTCGTGTGCACTCTGCACAACATTCTTCTCGACGCGGGGATCGAGTTCGACGAGAACTTGTTGTGGGAGGTCGACGACAACGGCGTACGGCGTAGAGTGGATTTGGGTATTGTAGGGAACGCCATTGACAGACGACAACAATGGGCGAACGTGGACAGGACCTGTTGCGGGACGCACTCCGCGAGAGGTTGCCATTGATGTAGGAGTGTCGGGAGAACAGAGGTTCAACCCTCCTTAGGAAGTGCAGGTGGTGACGTGTGGTCTATGTATGTGATCGCAAACAACTGTTTTGATAGTCGGTGACAGTGGTTGGCAGTTCTTGTTACTGTGATCGGTCTTCGAGTTCGTTTGGTGTCCGGGTGCCGTGTGTTGCGTGGTTCTGTTTTTCTATTTTGTTATTTTCATTTCGATTCCCGTGTTCTGAGTGCACGACCCTTCCTCGAGAATTAACTGCGTTGAAGCAGTTCGTCGTCGTTGGTGACAGTAGTTGGTGACAACGATCCTTCGATTAAAAACATCCGTCTGATGTAATTTGACATTCATTGATGTTTTGCCTAGTTCACTGTCGTCGTCTCTTTTTCAATCTTCCATGAGTTAATTCCATGGTGGGGGGTGTCGAAGGTTCGGGTGGGTGTGCGTGTGATTGGATGCCACGGTTCTTGTTGCGATGCTTGTCCTTTGTGTTCGCTGAATTGCCAATTTAGCCATGAATATGGAACATTTATCTTTTTTTCAATTTATTTCACATACCACACATGCAATGCTTGTCCTTTTTTGCCGCTGCATTACGAATATTGCAATCAATGTAGATGATATTAATGTATGAGTCATTTTAACAAAACACAAAACTAATGCAATTGCGAGGAATTGGGTCATCACACATCTGACAACACTTCAAGAGTTCATGCAACGGAATAGTACTTCGAGTAAACACATCGGCACAAGAAAAACACTCCACATCACTAACCACTGCTCGACGTGAACGATGAGCATGGACAATGACCGGGTAACCGACTATATACAATATGTGAGATGAACTAACATCGTGGTCCTTCGTCATCGACAATCCACAGAAAACATTAAGAAAAACATCGAACAACCAACGACTCCACCACACACGACGCACACTATAAACAGTTGATCGCAGCCCCACGGCCAGGCCTGCGACATCGACGTCGCATCGCTATCATCATTATCATCGTCACATTGTCATCATCATCATTATCATCATCGTCGTCGTCGTCGTCGCATCATCGTCATTATCATCATCATCATCATCATCGTCATCATCATCGTCATCATCATCATCATCATCCTTAGCATCATCATCGTCGTCACATCAGCATCAGCATCAGCATCATCATCATCATCGTCGTCGAATCGTCATCATCAGCATAATGGATGTCGCATCATGAGCATCATCATCATCGTCATCATCATCATCGTCATCATCATCATCATCATCATCATCATCATCATCATCATCATCATCATCATCATCAACATCATCATCAACATCATCATCATCATCAACATGATCATCATCATCATCATCATCGTCGTCGTCGCCTCAACGTTGTGGTCTTGTCGTCGTCATCGTCATCATTATCATCATCCCCTGCCTGGTCATCCTCTGCCTGGTCGCATCCTCCTCCTCGTCGTGGCGCCGTCATCATCGTCCCCTGCCTGGTAGCATCATTCTCGTCGTAGTGGCGTCGTCATCATCGTCGACATCGTCTTTCAAGTCGTTGATGCATCATCTTCATCGTCGCCACGGTCGTCGCGTCAGCATCATCATCGTCATTGTTGTCCACGCCGCGTGATGAACACCATCGATCCACGATGCCCCTCCCCGCCTTCAACCGTTGTCCCATCTGCGTCATCGTCGTCGTTTACCGGGGGTCCGGTCCCCAACCACTCAAGCTGCCTCACATCGTCGGGACCTGCTAAGTTGGCATCATGCCGGAAGCAGACCCCGCAAGATGCCCACTCCGGAATGTAGTTTGGCGCGTGTCCCAACGTTACTTGCGCCTTGCCCAGCCGCTCCGTCACCGAGTTCGTTGATTTGATGATGTGTCGGTGATGATCGAACAACCGTAGAGTGGACGCGATGAGCAGCGGCTTGGCGACAATGTTGGTGAAGTAGAACGCTTCGTAGTGTGCAGATCGTCTCCCGCCATTCGCATTATCCACATGCACGCCACAAGCAGCAGCCTGAAACTGTCTGCAACACACGCTAGACGATTGTGTTCGATGGAACCGCCGTCCTTCATCTGCCCTCACTCCACAGTTGTGCTGAAAGCCGCGAGCAATCGCATGATAGTAGCCTCCTGGTACGTCACCATGTTGTCGTCATTCGGTCTGTCTTCCACTTGCACCCCCGCGAACCACAGTGGCAGGTCCATCCCCAGGTCCAGCGTGTGCGTGCATACGGCAAGGCTGACGGCATCGCTCCACTCCTCACCGTGCCACATCGTGCGTGCGATGTCAGTAGCGACGGACTCCAAGGCGTACTGGAAGGCGAAGGTGTATCCTCTGGCTCCCGAACCGGATTTGAAGACCCATCCCTGCAAGACACGCAACGCGGCATTCTGGACTCTCCCTGCCCGTTTCGAACTTTCGACGCCTTCTACAGCTGCCCTGCATCTCTGATCCTCGTCTGTGTGGCGTTTGATTTCAGCAGAGCGACGCTTCTAGGGAGCTCCGAGAGAGGAAGGCCGCTGGTGATGGCGACAAGGTACTCGCGTATCTCGTGGATGATGTTGTACAGCCTGTGACCCTCGTCAACAGGATGATGAACCCCTCGTCAACAGGATGTGGAGGGGGGGGTCCACCAAATCTTTAGCGAACCCCCCCCTCCACATCCTGTTGACGAGGGGTTCATCATCCTCGCACACAACTTTTTTCTCCGCCCGCGCTACCTCTAGCGGGCGGTTGACGCCCTCTCCCCTTCACCCCTCCCCCGCCGCCTCTGTTCGCCAAACGACCGGTTGTTCACTCGGAGGGTGGGATGTTCGGTCGATCGCTTCCTTGTCTTAATCAACTGTTCATATTTTTATGGACCATATCGACTAATCGGAGATTCACTTGCATAATACTCACGTGCAAACGCCCGCTTTCGCACGCAAACGCGAACCCGTACACACACACGCACACACACTTTCCATAGAAGGGTGGCTCGTCCAATCAACCGGTTGCATGGAATGGTTGATTTGATCATGGGTTGCTCGAATGGTTGGTTTCATCATTGATTCCTGGTGACGATGGGGCTCATTGGAGGAACCGCCCAGGTTCAACACTTTCTCCACACACACGCATTGACACATCTAAATATGAAAGCACACGTGAAAGCAAGGGCAATACAGGAAACAGACAAATACAGGAAACAAAGGAAACACATGCAAATAACGCAAGTCGCCTCAAACAGACACCCGTCCGAACGCAGGCGCGCACAGCAGGGCACGAACAAATGCAGAAGCTCGCTCGAACGTGCACAGTCATACGTACACACACACATGACATCACTCTCACACATGGCATCACTCTCACACATCCGCGGGTGTTTACACGCGCAAGCACAATGAGTCGGGGAAAAGGAATGTCGCGTTCCATCAGTCACCCTTTCGACAGGTACTCACCGCGATGAAGATGTCGTCTTGAGAATAAATCCTTTGCACCTAAACTAAAGTCGCGGAAATCGCAGTGGAAGCGGCGTGACTTGCGTGGTGTGGCGGCGAATGATTTGCGTTGAACGAGCAGCGCACATGCGAAACAAGCCCGTCAGCAGGTCACTGATTGGCACGAAAGACAACGTGACGCGGAAGGTGCTTTGCGATGCAACTGCGCGCGGGTTCTCTGTTCAGACAACAAAGGATGCGGTGCAGCGCTGAAGATCACGATAGCGTTAGTCGCCATGCGTGTTGCTTGCGATCGCCTGCGGTTATCGAGTTCTGTGCTGGTTGGATGACGTGGCGCAGCGCTGGAGATTGCGATGGCGTCAATCACCGCGGTTCACGGGCGATGGTGTTGACGAGAGAGGGAGTGCAAGTGGTTAGTCCGGCAGCATCTCCCCACGACATGCGATAGTGCGAAATGAGCATTGGGGGGGCGAGATTCATTTTATAGGCTCACACGCCTTGGACACGCAAAGGGCTTTCCCCGCGGAACGGAAGGCCTTTTTCGAAATCGAAATTGCGGGCCCGGGTGGGGGACGGGAACTTTTGACCCATTGGACCGAAAGGAAAAAGCGCGGGAGTCCAGGAACCGTTCGATTTGCCCAATCGACAACCACGGTCCGTCTGCGCAAAGAGCCTGCATAGGACACGACGCATGTGAGGGCCATTGCTGACAATCGCTCGTGGGCCTTTCTGGACGCTACAGGGCGACGGGGGGGTGGTAGGGGTGGGCCTTTTCGCTGACGGGCAGGAGGACCATTGCAGCAGACGACATCGAAATGCACGGCCAGCCCTGGACGAGCCGTCCGATTTGCGCATTGCAAGGCCGTTTCTCGACAGGGCACAGGGCCTGCGGGGTGAACGTCACACCGGTGAGCGGGGTGGGAGGCTACCGGGAGGATGAACGTCACACTGAAGAGCAACCCGGAGGCAGCCATGCGAAGGCTTCCACGCAAGTGGCCCTCCCAGTTCACCCTCCCTTTCCCCGAAATACATCGTGCTCGACGACAGCTCCGCTGCGCTGCGGCATCGTCGTCGAGCGCCCCGAGTTGCACCATCGCCGTCGTTCGCCCTGAGCTGCGCCATCGTCGTCGTTCGCCTCGAGCTGCGCTACGCCGTCGTCGTCCTCGGCGATCGACCTCCCGGGTACGTCGGAGTTGCGCTCGAAGACACCATGGCGTCCGAAGACCGTCCCGCTTCTCGCAAATTTCGCGCGAGACTTTTTGCGCGTCATGACAGTCTCGAAATGCTGCGGGTCGTCGCCAATCTCCATGTCGTGTTTCCCTGTCCATCCACTCCTCTCTCCATTTTCTCGTCGCTCCCAGCATTTGTTCTTCAGTAATGTCCTTGCTCGTCACACGTAGTCTAGCTCTTTGTCTGTGGTGTGGAGAGTTGATCGCGCAGGCAACCGTGGGTGATGTGGAGTTGTCCTGCGTCGAGTGAAACCGATCGCGGGTCCCAATGTGGCGGAAGAAAAAAACATCCACTACTGTGCGCCATGGGCCGGCGACCTGAGGCATCGGCGCCCATCGCGCAGACTTCTTTGACGAGCAAAGCTGCTAGCGACGAGAGGCTAGCAGTGCATGTTGTCGACCAGTCCCATGGTGGCATGATCGAGCGAGCATGAGCGCACACAAGTCATCTATGCGTTCGTGCCAACACGTTGATGCCACCGTGGGATTGGCCGTCAGCAGGCAATGCAACCTTGTCGTCGAGAGCTGCTTTGTTCGTTGATGAAGAGCAGATGGTTGGTAGCGCTGGTTGAGGTCCCCTGTATGTAGATGAAATTGTCGGATTCATCTTGACAAAGGCAAATGGTGTACGCCTTGTCGCACGCGGCGGTCCCACACCCATACGCAAAGTAATTATTGTGTCGGACCTGACGGTCGTATCGCGCAGTAGTTTTATGTCACCTTAGCGAAACACCACTCCGACCGTGCGCGCGTGCTATACCTCTCGTGAATCCCCACGACAGGTTAGAGATCCCGCGAGGTACAACTTACCTCCACCTGCAGGAGTTGTCACCATCCCTTAGGCGGGCGTATCCCTGTTGAGCTACAGACCCACGTGCGAAGACTTTTATATGCAATCGCAGAGGTAGGCCAGCCGAGGGCGTTTTTCTCGATCGCTGTAGCAAAGGCATATGCGCGGTAGAACGCCTTAAGACAGACCCGTATATCGTGTTCCGAGGTGCTAACTCCGTTGGACCGACTATCTTATCAGGTCGACTTTTTCGGACAGTCTTCCACGCTTAACTAACTATGATAATGAATTCTATGTTCCTTTGTTGACCATATGAGAAATGTCAAAGCCTAACACCTTTTATAATCTCTCATTCTCTTTAGATCACAACAGAATCCTAGACGATAACTTTCCTAACTCAGGTCAGATTATGCCTTGTTTATAGACGTACATATATATATATATATATATATATATGTATATATGTATATCAGGGGAGCTAGATGAGTGGTAGACCTCACTTCACAATTGCGGTGCACCCCGTTAGAGTGTCCCAGATGACGACCTAAGTTCAGCAGACAATTTACGGCCCAATACCTGTGCCAATGCAAGAAAGTCACAAACACGCATACAAATGCAGACACATAATGCGCTACAAACATCAATTTTAACCCATTCATAGCAAGTCCCCCACTCCCAAAAAACTTGTCCTGACTCCTTTTACCCAGTCCTTCACTTTTTCAAAAGACCTTCGAGAGTGACTTGCACAATTAAGGCTTAGATACAGGGGAAGATCTGTCCGTTTTCCCTTTCAGGTTTTGTCTTAGGTGTGGGTATCAAGCTGTGTGGAAGTTGAGTCAGAGTCCTACCGACCTGTTATCCAATGATAAGAGAATTGTAGTTCCTTACGGTTCTCTTTTGTAATTCTCTCCAAGAGTGGTGAAACCTGTAGACACACCACAGTCCGACATAAACTTAACATTCTCTTTTCTATGCTGGGGTCTAAAAGATCTTTTTTGACTCGTGACCTAAAGATTGACGCTCATTGGTGACCCACTGTCTAGCCTATGTCCTTATCTAACTCCCAGGCTGCTGCCCTACTGGTTTCAGGAAGTGAACAAAGTTCGTTCCCAGCTCATCCAACCCAGTGATCCCGCATAAATCTCCTTTTGAGATTGTTTACCAAAGACTCATTCTTGGTTCATTTCTTGGCAAGCACAAGCAGTATTGTCAATTCATCTTAGAGAGAAGTCACTTGATAGAAATCAAATCAGACGTACCGAGATAGAGTGATAAGTTTCTCAGGGTCAAAATCTCACTATACTCTTCTCAATAGAGTCAAAAGTACCTCGTTAGTAACTGATTGATCTAGTTTCATTGAGAAGGTTAGTAGTAATATGGTAGATCACCAAGGATCTACTCATCTTTTATTGGCATCTTTTTGCGATAGGGCAGGCCTCAAGGCCTTGCTTCTCCTATTCACTGTCCTGCATCAAATGAGGGTCATATGGTAATGAGGCGGGCGTCTCGGAGCCTCACTCCTCTTACTACCACTTCCTTCATCCATGCGGCTGGGCAATAGGGAAGGCATCTCGGTGCCTTGCTCCTCCTAATGTTGCTTTGCATCGAAGCACCGTTGGCGGGTAATAAGGCAGACTTCTCGAAGCCTTGCTACGCTTATTACACCGTCTGTGTCATTATTGTTATAAGGCAGGTTTCTCGGAGCCTTGCTACTCTTATCACATTGTTAGTGACATCATTGTGATAAGGCAGGTTGCTCGGAGCCTTGCTACTCTTATCACATTGTTAGTGACATCATTGCGATAAGGCAGGCTCTCGGAGCCGTTGTAGGGTCAAACCCCGGTAGACTTTCGAGCCTTAGTCGAACCCACTGCGGGCCCCAGTTGGCTCGGCCCGCCCACGCTCATGCTCAGGGCGCGGGCCATTCCTCCCAGGGTCACCCCCACCTAGTGCTTTGAGATGGATGGGGGTGGGCCATCGCACGAGAGAGCTTTGACATTGGGGATGTAGCTCAGCCCTCACGCCGGGTGGTAGTCTCGCTGGTCATTCCTCAACGCTGATTTTTTTTTTTTTTCTTAGTTATGTTCTCAGGAAATTGCTCCTTCCAATACGCAGGCAGTCCAAGGGTTCTTTGAGAGTTTCTCTTCCCTTGTGCGCAGGCTAAGCGTCATCCTTAGGCCGCGCACCATTTCCCTAAGTATTGTGATCCTCCGGCGTCATCGCGGTGTGGCTAAGTCGTCCTCCCCCTCGCCTCTACGCACCCATCGGGTCCCACACATCTCATTCAACCCTATTGACGCAGACCCCTTAGTCTTTTCGGGGTCTTTATATGCATGCACACATGACTTCGCATTTCCCTCGGCAAGATTGAACTTCATTCTCTCAATTATACTCTAAGTCTCAAGCACAAAGGGTCGTTTCCATGGATTGGCTTTGTGCTAAGGGTCCCGTAGCCCCTTTGCCCCTCTTCCCTTTTCATTTTACTGCCCGGTTCCTCCCGGTCTTTCCCGCTCAAGTCATACGTAGCCGTCACTTACCTGCACAATCCCACACAAAGCAAAGTTCCATACAATCCCCCATTGGGGGTCAACACATACCTCTTCCCACATGCCTATCTTTCCATGCTCTTTGGCTGCTCTTTGTTCCCTTTCTTTGCCCAATCAGCCCATCCTCTTCTCGTAGTCACACAGTCGGGGAAATGGTTGAGTCAAAATGACCTTGCTTCAAGTTATGGGATGGGTGACCTTGCTCACCCATCCCATACCGAAAGATCAACTACGAATGAACCGGAACACTTCAATCATACATGAACTTGACAATGAGAAGGTTGAGCTAGTGAAAAGTACGTGCGCATGGAACGATCAACTAAGTATGAACCAGAATATCACAACACACATGAACTTGACGATGAGAAGCTAGAACTAGTGAAAGGCACATGCACATGGAGGAAAAATCAACTAAGTATGAGCCGGAACATCACAACACACATGAACTTGACAATGAGAAGATTGAACTAGTGAAAGGCATATGCACATAGAAGAAAGATCAACTACGTATGAACCGGAACATCACAACACACACGAACTTGAAAATGAGAAGATTGAACTAGTGAAAGACATATGCACATAGAGGAAAGATCAGCTACGTATGAACCGGAACATCACAACACACACGAGCTTGAAAAATGAGAAGATTGAACTAGTGAAAAACACTTGCAAATGGAGGAGAGATCAACTAAGTATGAACCGGAACATCACAATACCCATGAACTTGACAATGAGAAGTTTGAACTAGTGAAAAGGCACATGCACATGGAGGAGAGATCAACTAAGTATGAACCGAAACATCATCATGTGAGAGTTGATGAAAGTATGTGAGTGAGTCTTGCTCAAACACATGCTCATGGCTCATGTATGCAACCAAATTTGAAATAGACTGCCATCATGTGAGAGTTGAGCCATGTATGTGAGTGAGACTTACTCAAACACATGCCCATGGCTCATGCATGGAACCAAGTTTGAAATAGACTACCATCATGTGAGAGTTGAGTCATGTATGTGAGTGAGACTTGCTCAAACACATACTCATGGCTCATGCATGCAGCCAAGTTTGAAATGCAATGTCATCATCTACTATGCGAGTGGAAAACACAAGCTAGACTAGTCCCAAAACACAAGTCTTGCGCACAAAATCACTTATGGAAGAATCAGATTATTTCCTACTAGCATATGGGTGAGAATCAAGATTTACATTAGACAAAATCACAAGTATTGAGCATGACATTATCCATAGGAGAATCAGAGCATCTCCTACTACCATCTGAGTGAAAAACAAGATTTACACTATAGACCAAATCACAACTATTGAGCATGAGATCATCCATGAAAGAATCGGAGCATCACCTACTAGTATGTGAGTGAAATGCAAGAGTTGCACTAGGCTATATCACAAGATTTGAGTAAGAGATCATCCATGAAAGAATCGGAGCATCACCTACTAGTGTGTGAGTGAAATGCAAGAGTTGAAGTAGTCAAAATCACAAGAATTGAACATGAGATCATCCATAGAAGAATCGGAGCATCACCCACTAGTGTGTGAGTAAAATGCAAGAGTTGAAGTAGCCCAAATCACAAGAATTGAACATGAGATCATCCATACAAAAATCGGAGCACTACCTACTAGTGTGTGGGTGAAAAACAAGAGTTAAACTAGGCTATATCACAGATTTGAGCAAGAGATCATCCATGGAAGAATCGGAGGATCCCTTACTAGCATGTGAGTGAAAAACAACATCTACATTAGGCCAAATCACAAGTGTTGAGCATGAGATCATCCATGAAGAAATCGAAGCATCACCTACTAGTGTGTGAGTGAAATGCAAGAGTTGAAGTAGCCCAAATCACAAGGATTGAACATGAGATCACCCATAGAAGAATTGGAGCATCACCTACTAGTGTGTGAGTGAAATGCGAGAGTAGAAGTAGCCCAAATCACAAGGATTGATCATG